AATAATAATTAGCAAATAAATTGAGAATTCGGAACAACTTAGTGGGTTAAATACGATGAATAAAACAGAATTTGGTACTCACATATTTTTTCTCGAGAAGTGAATCTGTCTTTCGATCGCGTCAACAGTATAGAAGACAAAAAAAAAAAAAATAAATAAATTAGAGAGACAACAAAATTGGGTGCCTTATAAAAAAAGGGCAAGGAAGATTGAAAACTCATAATTGTCATAATTACCGTCTTGGTGACAACCATGACGTAGGCCTACATTCATTTTAATTTTAAAAAACCCTAAAGACAAGGCCTAGACCCTATATCATATCATGCAACTGAAGTAAGCAATTTTCTCAGGATCATAATTACTTTAAGCCTGCATGCCTCCGAGTTCTTTTGATCTTTGTATATTATTGCTCTTTATTATGAACTCTTTTTTTTCTTCAGTCAATGCAAATGCATCACTAGTATTAATTATTATAGATCAAGAAAGAATTGTTAGGCCGGTTGATACGGAGAAAATTGCTTTCTTCTGTTCAGGGGCGACTCAGCCAGCCGCTGAATTAATAAGGGAGGGGGTATAAGAGCACATTTTTTTTTTTTTTTTTGTCAAGGATTTTATGAAAAATTTCGCAACGACTCAGCCAGCCGGTGAATAAGCGGGGGGGGGGGGGGGGGGGGGGGGGGGGGGGAATAAGGAGCACATTTTTTTTTTGGTCCTGAAAATTGGAAAATTGGCCGGCAGATATTTCGTTCAAATGGGGGGAGGGGAGGGGGGGGGGGGGGGGTAAGGTCACCTTTTTTTTGGTCACCCATTAGTACAATTTTTATTTATCTATTCAATCTTATTTTATTTTTTAAATGAGGGGAGGGGGGTTAGAAGGGTCTCATAGATCTGTCCAATTCAGAAACTGCTCAACCGTGAGCATTCAATGTGGTATTTAATATTGAACTCGTGCAGATCGTGTGGTTTGGTGGAGTGTGTCCAGGCTTCGGTGGCCAATTGACAGGACGAATTTGGTTTTGACAGCTAGGGGGACTCCCCATTCATAATCAGGCCCGTAGCCAGAGTTTGATGTTTGATGTTTGGGGGGGGGGGGCACATAATTGTAATCGATCGAGGTAAAAAAGGGGTCTAAAAAAGTTAAACCGTCTTGTAAAATTTTTGGGGCACGTGCCTCCCCCCCCCCCCCGTGCCTGATAATAATGAACAGTATTCCTCTCTGTGGCTTCGTTTTGCGCATTATATTATATATGTTAATGATTTCAATATATCTTGTATTTCTTGTCCCTTTTAATTTTTTTTTTTATATTTATCTTTTTTTGTTGAACAATCATTATTGATAACCTGTAAATATTTTTATATTAGTTTTGATTTAATAAAACAAACAAATACAAAATAGAAACAATTTTTCTTCACTTTTTGCCGAGGCGTCATTTTTTTCATTTAAATTAACTCCTGGCAATCGTATTCGAAATATGTTTATTCAAGTTGTTCTCACTCTTTATTTTTGTCTGAATGCATCGTCCCCCTCCCCCTCTCTCTCTTTCTCTCTCTCTCGCGCGCGAAACGCGTAAGCTTAGACGTTTCATTATGATTATTAGAGAAAGAAGACGATTTGTTGTCCCGTTCTCGACTCTAAATCTTTGTCTGAAATAAGTTTTCCCCCTCCCGCGCGAAGCGCAGAAGTCTAGACGTTTCATTAAATTATTAGAGACAGAAAACAAATCGTCGTACATACCGTTCTTCAGTGGCGTACGCAGGATTTTTCAAGGGGAGGGGGGGGGGGGGGTATGAGGACACTTTTTTTTGGGAGGGGGGGGGGTCCCGAAATTTTATGTATGTTATTACCAAAGAAGAAAAAAAGCCAGTCAGTCACTCAATAGTGTCTGACAGTGAAGTCTAGCAAGTAAACAGGTTTCCTTGCATAATTTGAATGTTAAGACACTGTTAACGTTTAAATTTCACAAATAGAACATACATGATATATTCATTATTTCTGCAAATTTCTACAGAATTTGAGGTTGGCTGCAAAAGGGACATAGTAGGCCTACCTTTAAAGTATAGAGAAAGAAGGCGATTTGTTGTACCATTCTCGACTCTTAATCCTTCTCTGAATTCAGTTTCCCCGAAAATTTTAAACCTCAGATTTCTTTTGCTGATATTTTAGGAAGATCAAACTTCGAGAAAATACAAGTATCATAGTTTTAGTCTCTCTCGAAGTTGTCACAAGGGATAAAAAGCCACAGTTTGTAGGGGACCAACATTATACATCTTAAATACTTCAAACTTCAAACGAGGATCGAGCAAGAATACCGACACAGCCGACCCGACACAGCAACATTATCTATGCGTATCTTTCTCCCTAGACAAGACGTTTCCATCCAACAACCCCCTCTCTCTTTTACTTACACCCTTCCTCTCTCAGGCTCTTAACCCCATCTCTCTCTCTCTTTCTTTCTCTCTCTCTCTCTCTCTCTCTCTTTCTCTTTGATTTATAGCCCCCCCCCCCTCATCAGTACGCCAGTGGGCCCCGCGATCTATACCTTGTTTGCGGGAAAATCGCAACTGATCTCCCCTACTTTTCTTCTTTCTTTTCTGTTTCTTTTCCTATTTCTCTCCTCTTTCTCTTTCCCTTCCCTTCCTTCTCTCTCTTGTAGTTTTGCTTTTTGCCAGTACATTTTTGGCGAATTTGGGGCTGGTTTCAACATTTTTTTTTGGTCGGGGGAGGGGGGGGGGGTACGTGCCCCCTGTGCCCACCCTGGATCCGCCACTGTTAGAGGCCTATATATCAGGGCCCGCGGAACAGCGGGGCTCGTAGGCCTCAAGTCCCCCCTCCCCCACTTTTTGAAAAAGTATATTAATGAGAAATAGAAAGAAACAGGGAGAAAGAAAGAAAAAAATAGTGACCTACTAGTTTCAAAAAATTAATAAGGAGGTATTAAAATATCATGCTCATCTGACCGTGATTAAATGCCTAAACCCCTGAGCTTTCGCGGGCTCTACCCCGGCTGGATTCCACATAGCCCCTAAGGCGGGCCCGTGGATGCTCATCTGAAGGTAATTTAATGCCTAAAACCCCTAAGCTTCTGAGGCCCCCCCCCTGGACCCCCTCGCCAATTAGTGTCCTGCCAGTGTCACAAAATAATGAGGTATCAAAATATGCTCATCTGACCGTGATTAAATGCCTAAAACCCCTGAGCGAGTCCCGGGCCTGCTCCCTGGACCCCTCATTGGGCCCTAAGGCGGGCCCCTAAATGCTCATCTGAAAATAATTTAATGCCTAAAACCCCTGAGCTTCCGGGGCTCCACCCCTGGACCCCACGCCAACTAGTGACCTGCCAATGTCATATGAATAAGGTATCAAAATATGATATGCTCATTGATCCGATAGCCCGTTGCAGTGGAGATATATTTGAATCATCTAATCAGAAAGGAATTTGGATGGCGTAAACATTATTTCTGTGAAATATGACGCGATTTTCTTCTGTTTTTAAATTGGTTGCTTATTATAATTATTTTGCATGTTTCATTATTGTACTCTGTTTCTTGTATTATTTCAATGATGGTGGAAAGCATATTTTCACATTGTGGACGAACTTAAATCAATATCAATAACAATATCAATATCAATATCTGACCGTAATTAAATAATAATAATAATAATAGTGGGTTCTTGTATAGCGCTTATGTCAGTCAGATTTGACCCTCCTGGCGCTCCCGATTATTACCCTGGCTTTAGCACGGCCCATACTCCCTGAGCTTACGCCCTTTGACCCCCGCCAGGGCTTTGCCCCTAGACTCAATACCAATTGACGCTACGCTCTACATGATCGTAAATACTTTAGCTCAGCCCCCCCCCCCCCCCCCCTCTCCCTATCCACTTTGAAAAACGTTTAGCCGGTCCTTCAGGATCAGCTAAATTTGGTTATCATGAAACATATTGTCTAACTATCATGTCGTATATATATATTTATGTTTTGTTTTCTTCCTTTTATTTGAAAAATAGTGGGTTAACAACCCAAATAGTGGGTTCTTGTATAGCGCTTATGTCAGTCAGATTTGACCCTCCTGGCGCTCCCGATTATTACCCTGGCTTTAGCACGGCCCATACTCCCTGAGCTTACGCCCTTTGACCCCCGCCAGGGCTTTGCCCCTAGACTCAATACCAATTGACGCTACGCTCTACATGATCGTAAATACTTTAGCCCAGCCCCCCCCCCGCCCCTCTCCTCATCCACTTTGAAAAACGTTTAGCCGGTCCTTCAGGATCAGCTAAATTTGGTTATCATGAAACATATTGTCTAACTATCATGTCGTATATATATATTTATGTTTTGTTTTCTTCCTTTTATTTGAAAAAAGGGACAAATTGTATAAAGTATTACGAGTAACATAATTTATTCTCATCCCTATATTAATATTTTAGGTGAGACATGCTGTAAATAGTATGCTAATTTGTGTCTCTCCTGATTATTGTTATCTCTTACACGTGATGTTACGCTATAACTTTAAAATTTGTTATCCAATGTACACAACTTGAGAATGATCCTATCTGTTTGGATTGAAATCAATAAAGTCTAAATATGAATTTGAATGTAAGAGTGGGGGTGATGCGGATGTTTTTTCTGCCCCTCCCCCCCAAAAAAGACAAGTTTTTGCTCATTGCACTCCATCACTGCTGGTCACCATGCATTACGTACCAATATTTGGCTCGCATAATTTCAAATATGGGTCCCCCCCAAAAAAAAATAAAAAATAAAAAAAAAAAAAAAAAAAAATAAAAAAATAAATAAATAAAAAAAATAAAATAAAAAAATAAAAAAAATAAAACAAAAATAAATAAATAAAATCCTGGATCCGCGCCTGATACCTGACAGCACTCAAAGTAAAACCGTCGAATTCGAACGCAAGAAAAATTAATTTTAATGAAATGGAACTCGCAAATTTGGCAGGGGAATCGGACTACCACAGCTCATAGGCCTAGGGGAGTCATGCGAGTACAGATTTAATTTTGTTCAATTTTGCCAGTTTTAAGATACCATAGGACGTCAGATTTGCAGAGATGGCGAAGAATTTGGAATCTTCCGATTTTTTATCTTCATCTTTGACTGAAAAACGTGTGAAAATGAAACGTCCCATCATGTCTGCATCAGAAAGCAAAGAAACGGAACTTTTTTCTCTTCATGAAATGTTTTGTGTGGTTTCTAGCCATTTAACACTAGATGATTTTGAGGTCCTTAAAGCTCTTTATATCGGGAGTTCTGTGAACGACGATCGTGGAAGAATCAACTCTCCTTCCGACCTTTTCTTCGCAATGGAAAGATCAGGATTATGCGACTCTTCGAACTTTAAAGAGATTTTGAACTTCTTAAGATTGATAACAAGACATGATTTGATGCCATTTGTGACGAGAAGGAAGAGAAAACGAGGTAATGAAAGTGACGGCCAGAAATAGGAAGATCTCTCATGAGAATCGAGTGAAAAAAATAAGTCGATAATGATCAATTTGCATCAGATGATCACCTGATGATCAGTCAGTGAATCATGAATGATTTGGAGTTTCAATTTTATCAGAATTAAATAATGGCGGGGGAATGTTTAAAAAGGGGTGGGGCGTTTTATTAATTTTAGGGGATTAACAATAGAAAATATGTGTAACGTACTTGAGTTGAACCAGGCGGCAGTCGGTAAAGTAGCTATTGGTATCAGCGAACAAGGTCAAGGAGCTAGAGCCAGCAATATCTAGATCTATCGATCATCTATCTATAATCTAGATCTAGGTCTACATTCAGATTCTACACAATTTAGTTTCAGTGGAATTTTAAGAATTAGGTCTAGGGTCTATTCATGTTAATTGAATAATGACTGGTTAATCAGCTTTAAGTTTGATCAGTTAATGTTCCTATAATTTCTTACTTACTTGCTTTACTTTAATCCATCGATGCTTGAAGGGCAATGCCTGTTCATTGATCATCGGGTTAAAATCATTTCCATCTCTCTTCGTGCGTAATTTTTATCATTTGTCTTTCATACATACATGTATGTTTAAACTGGATAGTGATGTGTGTGCATGGAGCAGAATCAGTTCTCAATTTGAATATTTCTCTCCTTCGGGGTCAAAGACGGTAGGTAGATTCTTCCAGTGTTTGTCTAGTCTGTTTTTGAAGGAGTTTACTGAAGGAGCTGAAACTACCTCTTCTGGTGGATCATTCCACGAGTCAACCACTCTGTGAGAGAAGAAGAATTTTCTCACATCCAGGCGTGTGAATGATTTTTCCAGCTTTAGTGAATGACCTCTTGTTCTTTCTCCTCTGTGAAGATGTAGGAATTCTGCACCAGCATTGTATAAGTCATGCAAATACTTATAGACTTTGATCATGTCTCCTCTCCTTCTGCGATGGTCAAGGGATGGCAACTTCAGTTTTCTCAGTCGTTGTGGGTAAGACAAGTTCTTCAGGCTTGGTACCATCTTAGTGGCTCTTCTCTGTACTGTTTTAAGTCTTCTCTGATCTCCTAGCTGATATGGTGACCATGCTGATTGACTGTATTCCAGGATTGGTCTAATAAGTCCTTTGAAGAGAAGTTTAAGGGTTTCCTCATCAATAATGACAAAAGATCTGCGAATCAGACACAGTATCTTATTAGCTTTGGAGACAACATTAGAGATCTGGTCCTTGAAGGAGAGTTTTGCATCCAGTAATACTCCAAGATCCCTTTCTACATCCACTTGTTTGAGGAAGACCCTTACATTGTTGTTCTCAATGTAGTAGCCGTGGCTTGATGGAGACTTGCCAATCTTCAACACAATGCATTTGTCAGGGTGGAATTTGAGCTGCCATTTCTTTGCCCATTCCTGCAATTTATCTAGGTCATTTTGCAGATTTTGAGCTTCAACCATGGAGTCGCATCTAGCATAGAGTTTAGTGTCATCTGCAAAAAGCTTGATTCCCGATCCAATTGAGTCAGGTAGATCATTGACATATATCAAGAACAGCAGGGGGCTAAATATTGTTTTCCTGACATTCAATGGATCATGATGGATGGATGTCAACCATTAATGAGTGATGAATAAGTAAAGAATAAGAAAACTTGAACTTAAACTAACGAAGGCTCAGCAAATGTAAGTCGAAGAACAGTCGAAGAAGTCGAAGAACAGGGGCTTAATATTGATATCCCTTTTTTCAATGACACATGACAAAATCAGTGACAAAGCTGATGATAACCAATCAGAAGCAAGGATTTCAGTAGCTTATAACAAAAAAATGGTCATTTGTCACTAATGATAAGTTCTGTGAAACGTTCCCCTGTACTTATGGTAATCATTTAGTGCATACATTTACATGTACATGTTCAGTCAAACCTGCTTTAGTGACCACCTGTCTACAAAGACCACCTTTTTTGTTACCTTGAAAATGTTTTTTTATTGAAACATTTACTAAAGGAACCTGTACTTAAAGACTACCTGTCTGTAAAGACCCCTTTTCTTGGTCTCCCTTGGGCGGTCGCTATAGACAGGTTTGACAGTATGTACCTGTATACAGAAGTTACAGAATTATGAGAAATGATTGTAAAGGTCACCTGTGATTTCCACCACATGCAAATGGATTATTTACCTACAGTACAATGTAGGTCAATGTTGATAAAGTTTGTAAAAGTTCTTATTGTTAGAGTACATGTACATGTAGATACATACAAGTAAATAATAAAATTGGGTGGTATTCCGGTAGCGCGTACTAAGTTAGCACATACTTAAGTTAGTTCATACTTTTATGGAGTGCCTGTTGCAAACTAATTTACCCTGTACAGATTATTTTAATCCTTCAATGAAAAGTGTCCAAAAAAATTAATTTTGGAATGAAATGGGATGAAAAAGATATTATGAGTATGAAGTGAATTTCAACAAAGTCTTTGGTAGATTATCTTTATCATGAATATTGAAGGAGGAAGGTGAAACCTAGCATTCCATAGAAGTGTGAACTAAAACTCTTGTTTAGTCTGGACTTAGTCCTGGCTTAACTTATGAGAATACCACCCATTAAAGCTAATCTTGAGCCCTGGTATGGGAATCGTATGTTGAGAGAACATGGCTATAATTCATTCTGGATTGTTCACCCAGCAGTGAATTGATTGTTTGAACTAGTAAAATAAAAATACACTCACAAAAACTTGCTGGAAATCATCTTCAATAAAAAACACAACCCTCATTTGCACATACATGTAGTGACCTGTGTAAGCACATGGTGTTGGGCCTACTTAATACCCTTTTCCTTATCTTTTCCTTATCTTTCCATTACTCAGCCCCTATACAGCCCTCTACCAAAATTGTTTGGCACATTTCATTTATTTGTAATCTTGAATATTCAGTGTAAGTTTTGTTGAATTCTGTGAGAATTTATTCTCTATCATTACCAGAACTCAAGCTTATCTTTAAAGGGATCCGGTAACTTTGTCTCAGATTCTGAAACAAAATCCTGGATTTAGCTCATGTTGCAATCATAATTATAAATCTTTAGGTCAGTCAGGAACTCCATGACTTTTACAAGCCGATCGCCTGTCTGATTATCAAGATATTTGTGATTGGATTTTCAAATTTTGAAAACCGTTTGCTAAACGTTTTTCTTACACTACAGTCTATTGGAGAAAACGAGTATGGTAAAATCGGTCAATCAAAGATTTTTTACTTTTTTGAGGAACTTCTTGATCATTTTGAAGCGCAATTTTTTTAGGGCTTCAATATTATAGTATTAATGACTGCTTTGAGAGAAATAGTTGTTTTATTACGCTCAAGGGAAGGTTAGAATTGTGCTATTCCCGAGGCTTGCCGAGGGGAATAGCCCAATTCTAACCTTCCCGAGAGCGTATGAAAACAACTATTTCTCGAATATTAAAGCAGTCATTAATACTTTTATATGCCGAAAAAAAATAGACTAAAAAATGAAAAATTAAAAATATTTATCATTTTTGTCGAAGACGGGATTCGAACTCTTGCGTACAACAAGAGGTGTACCGAAAACCAACGCTTAGACCACTCGGCTATGGCCCGCCGTTAACATGCTTGGCAGTTTTCTCCAATATATACATTAAAATGGATTGAAACCGGCTTCGCGTGTGATGAATGCTTCGCAAAAGCTCCATATACGGACTCTTCTTTTACTTTTGCAATGCATATTGGCACGAACTTAGATCAAGATCTATCGGCAGATGTTGTTTTTTTGTTTTTGGAAGTTTATTTTCGTCTTCATGTCAACAATGCAAGATAAAATTGTCGGTAAGATCGATCGAGATTCAATTGTATTGAAATTACCGACCAATCCTTCGCACACATACGGCATCCTCCATCGCTCAAACCATTTTTTAACATGTAAACCTATGGGGTAACCATGGAGGCTGACCAACTTTTTTTAATAACCATGGTTATTAAAAATATTGAAATGTTTTATGCATGGTTACCGAGAATTTTACAGGAACAGTTGAAGTTTATGAATGCAATTCGACCAATCAGATGGCTGGATTTCTTAAGTGAGGTATATAATACACCATATCACAGACATTGATCTCAGATTTAACATTGTTAAACGATGCCTTTAACAAGAAATATTGTTTCTCCTTTTCTCAACAGCCGTTGAAGATCCTGTAGATAAGTACCTTGATCAATGTACCTCTGCATCAGGACCTCCTCCTCCTCCTTCATCAGACCAAACAGCAGGACACCTGTTATCATCATCCTCCTCCTCATCCTCCTCCTCATCATCATCATCATCGCCATCATCATCACCAGCGTTGGGGCCAGTGGGCTCATCATCATCGTCGTCACACACATGTAGCTGTAACCAGACACCCCATGCAACACACTGTCCTATGCTTCATCAAGAAGCAGAGGCGGACCCCAACGATTGTAACGCGCACACTAGAGCTGTTGCCACGACAACCAGGTGTCGGAGAACAGTTGGGATTTCACCGGAAGCAAGAGGACTACCCAGGGAGAGACCCAAGCATACATGTGGTAAATAATACTCTGAAATTTTTAGTTATGTTCTACTTTGATTTGTTTTGTTTTGTTGTTTTTTGTTATTGTTTATTCAAATACCATATATCATTTGTATGATTCCTATACTGTTTTTCTTCTGGTGGCTGTCCAGACAAACCCTCTAGGGTTTTTATACAGCAACCTAATTCCTATTTGTTTGTTTTTACTGTCAATATTGTACTATGTTAATCATATTTATGTAAAAGTAATATTTTGATGTCACTGTTTTTTTTTTTACTATGGAATTAAATAAATACTGAACTTGAACTTGAACTTGAACTTGTTTTGTTTCAGGTATGGTATTCTGAAAATTATGTTTTTTCCCCCTCTTATTATAGTTAAAGATATGTTGACCAAATTGTTCACATGTGTTCTTTGTACAAAGCTACACACCTGATCCTAATTTGAACATACAACTACAAGATAGTTTCAGAATACCACACCTGGAAGTATTTACAATCATCTACAGAATTTGTGTATGGTGATGAAATGAATTGTATGTATACATGTAGTAGTAATGATTTATTTAAACAAAAAATTGTGGCCAACTAACAAAATTGCAGAATTTCGTACAAATTAAAAAAAACACAGTAAATAATCTCTATGAAGTTACAAACTGACCAGTAAAAAGTAAAACAATGGATCTAGACCATGGTACTTTGAAATTAAATTGATTTTTATGAGCTCAGATACATCAAACAAACAATTACCATTTCCAGTTTGAACTGGGCATAGTTTGAACATTGAGTGACCTACATTGATCACAGATAATGGAAACAGTCTGAATAAATACTTGTAGAATAATGTAGAACTCTCTGGCCCGAATTCACTAAGGATGTTTAGATTTAACCCATGGTTACTTTAAAGCCTCATTTACATAACCCATGGTTTAAAATAAGCGCAAAATAAGCACGACACAAGTCAGAGGTCCAAGGTACATGTACGCTTATTTTGCGCTAATTTTTAAATCATGGGTTATGTAAATGAGGGTTTAAACCGTGGTTAAATCTAAACCTCCTTTGTGAATTCAGGCCTCTGTAGAGTTACTGTATATTGAAATTATTTTCAGTGCTTTGAACAGTGAATACCCAGGTTATCTGTTCTGATATGGGCTCTACACTTACTTTTTTGGAAAGGTGGGGGTAGGGGTGTTTCACAAAGATCCTAAGTCAAACTTAACCCTAAGTTGGACTTAAACATTATGGAGTGCCATTAGTAGCCTTAAAATAAAATATGCTCAAAAGCAAAAAATCAAGTATTTTTTACTTTTTATAAATTCCACATCAAGAACATGAAACCTCCTTGATAAAAGAAAATATGAATAATTTGATTCAACATTTTATGCCTTTTAAAATAATTTTTACAAAATATTTTCATAGATGCTAACAGCTTTCCATAATTGTTCAGTCCAACTTAGAGATATGTTCAATAAGTGAGTTCGTAATTAGGATTTGCACATGGGCAGATAAAGGTCAAACGTTCCCAAATAGTAAAACCAGCGAGACGAATGCTGGTATCGGGCTCATGAAAGCTATGTAATCAGTACTCTCTTATGCACCGACAGTACATTCATCTGATACACAGGTGGAAGTATTCTTCTCAAGAGAAGAATCTATTCTTCTCAAGAGGCAAACAAAAGGTATTCATGAAGCACCTCAATCACTTCGGCAGTGATTATTCTAAAATGCACAAATGGGACCGGACGTATCCATCGTGTAATTTGGGGGTCATGCGTTCCTAAGCTATTTACGAACTGGCTTATTTAGGATCTTTGTGAAACACCCCCCAAGACTATTAAAGATATTAGGTGTCCTTGTGTCCTGGGCTCGTTAGTGTTGAGCCCTTCCTGCCTGTAATACTGTTATTAAAGATAAAGGTGAGTTCTGGTAAAATAAAGGAAATTAATTCTCACAGAATCAAACAAAACGTACACTGAATGTTCAAGATTACAAATAAATGTCATTTGCCAAACAATTTTGGTAGAAAATGTATGCTGGCTGAGTAATTAGCATAGAAAGAGTAGGAAATCAAGGTTAGTAGCCCAGACACCCTTTGTGTAGTCCCATATACATCTTTCTGTGTACAGTGATTGTTACTTTACCAAGACTGGGCCAAATTTAATATGATTTTGATGACTCCAGAACCTGCAGTACACACCAATACTTACATGCTTCTTGATCAACTTTTTCTGATCCATTCCACACCTATTCTTTCACAATGAAATCGCATGACCAGAACTCACCTTTATCTTTAATACTGTTATTATATTTCTTACCTCACAGACATTAGGCTACGGGTACGTGCTGAATACTGCTGTCATGATAGCGCCCTCGTAGGTCAACTTCACTCCAATGAACGCGATCCACTGATGCGACATTTAGAGCTTTTCTCACAAGCCAGCGCTATCTTGAAATCACGTGACCTGGGATCCATAGTGTGCGACATCAAGTTTTCAGAGTTAACGTACTTGGATGCGTTCTGGCGAGACTACATCAACGGTTCGCTTCTAGCGGCGCTCAAGGATGTCTTCATCACCGACTCGCTCCGAGCGGCCGTAGGAGACGAAGCCATCAAACTCTTAGTCAATGTTGATGAAGATGATTATCGAGCTGGGAGAAGCAAACTTCTTTTAAATCTCATAAGTTGATGACTGACTGAGCAGATTTGATGAAAAAACTTTGAACTACTAAATAATACAGATCTTTAAAGAAAAAAGTGATATTGTCACTGCATGTGCGCTGCATGCACTGCAGAGTTTTGAGCTATGGACTTCTTGTATTCAATTCTGTACATCTTTTATTTGTAAAAGAAAAATGATGATATTCTATTTTTTTAAATTTTATTTGTTGATAGAAAACATCATCCAGGCATTGCATTTTGATGAAAATGATGGCCTTGAATTTGAAGTGTACCAATCACCTGAAAAAATGATTTATGGTGTGTTAGAATGTGTAAAATCAACCTTAACAATTTTTACCTGGCATTCTTTATTATAGAATGCCAAAGTGAACGGTTAAGGAGTATAAAGAAAATAAAGCGTAAAATAAAACCCTGCATATAGGGCTTGCACCCAAGATGGACTTGGGTAGGCGGACTTGGGTTTTCAGTGCGAGTCCTATTCTGTGTGAATGATTTAGCTTGCGTTAAAAAGATAGTGGAGTTCTTGTTTAAGACCGCAAATGTCTTCAAAGTGCATGTTTATTGCTCTTGCACATTTCTAGTGCCCTTTTAGAACCTAAAATTGCTATGAAGGTAATTTTAGACCCCAAAATGTGTGAATTTAGGTTGAATAATATCATACCAATTCAGCTCCACTTTAAAAAAAATATGGTGACCGATAATGAATTAATAATAATAATAATACACGGGCCGGCTATTTGTGCGTATTATAACAAATACGAAGAAGCCAACAAAAAGCCGATGTTTAAAGCGCTATCTCGTTTTTTAACGGCTGCTTCAAAATTACTGAATATTTGTGGGGCACCACAAATATTAGAAACAGTTATATTTATGGATATTTCAGCCGTCTCTGAACTGATTTTGATCAAACAAAGATGATTTTGTCATTTAATTTGTATAATCTTTCAAATTGACACTCTGTTTTTTCATCATCTCACAAAAAAATATTTTGTGAAGCGCCCTCTGCAACAGAACTCAACTATCCCTTTAAGTTTTCTACTCAACATGACGTTTTAACTGCAATTTAAAACTCTTTGTAGAATTAATATTTCAAGCTCATAGTTTGAATAAGAGTGTAGCAACATGGAACCCCTGATTAGCCCTAGGGCCCTTACATCAAGAGCAAAACATGTTTTGGTGACTGGTACACTTTGACTCGTACAATGACGTACACCCGGCCCCTCGATCCACTCAGTGTTATTTAGGGTACGCATATGCATGTTCCCTCCTTTTGAAAACACCCCCTAAGTCCGGTGTGTAAATTTTTTTTTGTGTACATGTATGTACGAGTCGGACTTTGGTGCGTGAAAAGTACCCCTTTACCGGACATTTTGGTAACACGCATGGTATCCCTCCGTTCACGGAGTGGGGGGGGGGGGGCCCCGGGATGTTCATCAATACCTTTATAGTCCTTTAAGAAAATAACGACGCCTACATGTACATGTAGGCCCCCTGATACAAAGCTTAGCTTTATTTAGGTAAATGAAATAATTTATATCGAGGCGCTTCACAAAGGCATACCGGTATGCATAAATTTGGTGACATTACAAAAAATGGCCTATAGAGAATGATGCTAACGTCATATTCGCTCATCGTTCAATTTACAGGTTCCAAACAACTAAGTCTAGGCATGAGGTTCACCGCGACATCATTCAAGCAACGGATGTTTGGCGCTGGTGTGCTCACCATGCCATTGTTTAGGACTAAATTGTTTGGAACCAGCAATCTCGACAACTAGGCTAATATGACGTCACACTTCGGTACTCTATTAGAACCCTAACCCCATCTTTGATTAAAAATAACCTGAAGCTATAGACCATTTTCAAAATGTATTTCAATTCATACATGTTAACCTATCAATAAGCTATTACATTCACCTGTATTCATCATTGTAATTCAATAATCAAAACGAAATTGCATATTCCAGTTATTGCTAGGTTGGACACACATTATGGCTTGCCCTACCTAGCAACAGGTAATTCTAAATATTGAAATACAATTATTCTACAGATGAATGAAATTTTTTGTTGCTGGCAACGAAGATGTATATAAATTAAATTTGATTACTTTACAGAAATGGCCTAATTTAGCTAATGTCAAAACAACCAGGGGCGGTATTCTGAACCCTGTGTTATCTCTAATATTGATGTATCTTTGGAGATAAGATAAAGTTGGTATTCTGAACATTGTTGTAACTTTTGTGTTATCTTTTGTTGTATCTTTTCTCTCATCTCATTGGCCGCGCCTGCGCTCATAGTTTAGTGCGCTTGTAATTGTGCGTATTATTAATAAAGTGGCGTTTAATCCTCATTTGAATATGCGCACGAGAGATAATATGTCGAGGTAATTGTTATTCTGAAAGTTGTTGTATCTTTTATCTTATCTTATCTTGCATGGTATTTATAACAATATTTACAACAGGTAGGGGGTTGTTGTATCTTTCGTGGTGACATAATGGCGGCAATATTTCTTGCCCAGAACCAACTTTGTGTCAATAAACGAGTTAAAAGAAGATTTTGTGTTGACCGGAAACATCACAGATGAGAACTTTCTAAGAAATTACATGCTAGGATATGATGATTATAATGCTCTCATCTGAACCAATATAGTGAAAGCGTGATTTGTCTTCATGATCCACATTCAACAGCGCATAATGATGACGTGCGTAATAAGTGCTCAAATAACTAATTACGCCCAAGATTAATATGCGCTAGGTGCATCTTCAGATATGGCATAAAGTATTCCTATTGGTTGACCTACTTATGCTTATATTGGTAGGGTCCATAGCAATGGGCGTGTCAACAGTGGTCAAAGATAAGATAGAGGCAGTCCTTCAAGAGATAACACAGGGATAAAATGATGTTCAGAATACCAACTTACAACAATATTAGCGCTGTGTTATCTCTGGAAGATACAACACAAGATAACACAAAACTTACAACAATGTTCAGAATACCACCCCAGAAAAGCATCTATTAATTTGTTTTTAAGGCAATTTTAACACATTTATGTATTTGCCTGGTACATAATGATCTGATAGTATGAGATACAGTCAAACCTGTCCATGAAATCCACTCGAGAGAAATAGCAAAAAAATCTTCCAATTTACATGTAAACATGTGGTCTTTGTAGAAAGTTTCTCAACATAGAGAGAGAGAGAGAGAGAGAAAGATAGCACATGTGACCACTGACCATAACAGGTGGACACTAGGGACAGGGTTACCTGCATATTATACTTGGTTGTTCTGCAGCATCATTGACAGCTATCTTCTGTCATGGACGATACTAATAAATGTCATTTTGAAAATTTCATTTCCCCTGTATATGGATTATCCCTTGATTTATATTGTGATGTATGGACTAGCTTGTCACTATATGTGAACCTCTATTTGATTGTGGTGATAATCTATTTCAACCCATTGCTTACTGGAACCTGGATTAAGTCTATGGCAATTAAATAATTCTGTAGTCAACTGGTTAATTTTAAACTCCACCTTAGAATGGTTGAAACCATCTTGACTCTGCCTGTTGAAACTGCTGTTACCAGTTTTCTAATCAGGTAATAAATGTAGTATAAAAGATAAAGACCAGTTATGGTCACGCGATTGCATTGTGAAAGAAACGGTGCGGAATCGACCAGAAAAGGTTGATCATCTAGCATAGAAGTATTTGTGTGTATTGCAAGGTTCTGGAAGCCTCAAAATGATAAGAAATTTGGCCCAGTCTAAGTACTGTACACAGAAATACGTACATGGGACTACACGAAAATGTTGTGTAAAATTCTGTCCCGATTTTTATCCCGTTACATGCCATATTTAGAATATTAAGGCATTTGAAGAAGCTACTATAGATGAATGAAATGTGAGATAACACGGCCATCAGTGCATACTGTATAGCATATTTCTTACCTTCCCGCTCTCCCCCTCTCTCTCCCTCTCCATCTCTCTCTCTCCCCTCTCTTTCTCTCCCTACTCTCTCGCCCCCTCTCTCTCTCTCCCCCCTCTCCCCCTCTCTCTCTCCCCCTTTCTCTCTCCCCCTCTCTCCCCCTCTCTCTCCCCTTTCTCTCTCCCCTCTCTCCCCCCTCTCTCTCTCTCCCCTCTCTCTCCTCTCTCTCTCCCCTCTCTCTCCCTCTCCTTCTCTCTCTCCCTCTCCTTCTCTCTCTCCCTCTCCTTCTCTCTCTTCCCTCTCTCTCTCAACCCTCTCCTCTCTCTCTCCCCACTCTCCCCTAATCTCTCTCTCCCTCTCTCCCTCTCTCCCCCTCTCTCTCTCCCCGCTCTCCCCTAATCTCTCTCTCCCTCTCTCCCTCTCTCCCCCTCTCTCTCTCTCTCCCCGCTCTCCCCTAATCTCTCTCTCCCTCTCTCCCTCTCTCTCTCTCTCTCCCCGCTCTCCCCTACTCTCTCCTCTCTCCCCCTCTCTCTCTCACTCCCTCTCTCTCCCTCTCCTCTCTCTCCCCTCTCTTTCTCTCCCTACTCTCTCTCCCCCTCTCTCTCTCCCCTACTCTCTATCTCCCCCTACTCTCCCTCTCCCCCCTCTCTCTCTCCTTCTCTCTCTCTCCCGTTCTCCCTACTTTCTTTGCCCCCCCTCTCTCTCTCTCTCTTGTCATCTGTTTGCAGTTGAAATAAGGGGAGGGGGTTGTAACCCTTTTATTATGCCCTGCATGAGCATATCATTAGTTGCATCACACCTAAATTATATCAAATTAATATTCATCTAATTTCAAATACTAATATGAAAATCAATTCACTATAGAAAACATTTATAGGCCTTATCACAAAGGCTTTCATGAAATCAACTCTAGGACAATTTCAGTACCCTTCAATATATGTCTTGGCTACAGAAATCCGATTCTGATTATGTAAGATGGAATTGTAGTGTTTGCAAGTCTTTGTGTTTCAGGAAGAGAGATATAATCTAGATCAAAGAAAGATCATAACAGAGGAAGAGAGAGAGAGAGAGAGGAGTAGAGAAGAGAGTGGGGGGGGGGGGGGGAGGGAATCAGAATGACCCCTGATCACGCCCCTCCAGATTTTACCCAGTATGCATGCTACGCCAGCTGAAATATCGTCTATATATTATAGGCCTATATTTCTCACTTCTCGTTTTTTCTTTACTTGTTTTTTTTTTTTTTTGGGGGGGGGGGGGGGGGGCGCTGTTAATTTTTAAATTCTGAAAAATCTTACTTGTGGCAATCAAGAATGTCCCACTACCTGTACAGACCTGCTTGAATAAAATCAAATTTTGCCCATGAAAGGTAGCCTTTCAAAACCAACATGAGTGCAATTAACACCTACAGTAACTATAAAGATAACTCCCGTAAAGACGTATACCCAAGGATTAAAACAAGAATGGAGAGCAGGGGCTTGGATGCATGCATGCCGGCCATACTATTTTTACGGGGGTCATAGTTCTAAATAATTAAACTTGATCTATAAAAAAAAAAGGGGAAGAAACATGAATTGAAGATTCATATTATAGTAGGGAGGGGGCCCACAGTCATCTCCCCCCCCCATCCTAGCGGTGCCTGCATGGTCGCCCCCCCCCCCCAGCTACCAGTAGCAGGTAGATGTTGGTGCATCCCTGGA